GGGGCGTCAGGTTTTACTGTCTCGATTTCTGCAATCTGCGTGTTTGATAACTAGTGCCGTGTACTTTGCCTGCTCTCCCATATTTATTGTTGAAGGTGACTTTTGTCCCAGCCACAGCAGCTCTTAACTGCTCTTCTATTCCCTTTTTTGTTCATTGGCTGCGTTTGGTCTGCACCCTTTGCCTCTCTTCTTTTCCTTCCCCTGCATGCCAATCTTTGCTCTTTTTTGCTGCTTCTGGTTTTAAGTGCTTCAGCCCTTCTCAGGCTAGAGGTGGATCTGGGATAGCTTTTTTCCTAGGCTGGGGAAAACTGTTATAGTGGCTCTTCATTCCCTTGTTCTCTCCCCTGGCAATGCTGGAGGGAGGAGCAGAAGAATATCCTGTTGCTTATCGCAAGCAAGAAGAGTGGCTAAACCTCTTCTGCTGCTCTCCTTCATGTCTTTGAGAATCTTTTGTCCTCTGAGGAGAGCTGCAGAGAACTCAGCAGCTTTTCTGCACGGTTCCTGCCTCAGCAGGCGCTAATCAGGGGTCCTGTTTGCAGCAAAGCATCCCTTGTTGTGCCATTGCTGGCTTTAGCTACAAACAGGCTACTGTCACTCATAAACAATTGCAAGATTTGGCAGCATGGGCTGCTCTTTTCTGGAAACAGAAATGAAGTCATGGGGACAGTGATATGTACCAGGCAGTTGCTAAAAGGACTGGATTTTCAAACAGGCTAGTGCAGATAAGTAGGAAGTTACAGAATACATTGAACTGCTGGAAAATACACTAGAATATGTTCACAGTCTTCTAAATAATTTTAAAATAATATTCCCTGTAAAATATTTGTGAAATAAACCCAAATTTTAGTGTTGCAGGTCTCTGCTGTGCATAAAGTTTAAGTAGAAAATCGTATCACACTTGTGAATTTTAAAACCTTTATGAGGGGAAAAAAAAGCATAGATCACTTGATAGTCCTATGGCTTCTTAATGTCTTGTCTCAAAATGTTACTTCAGGAGCTGTCACAGTTGTGGTAATGGTGTGGGGACTGCTGTATTTTGGTCTTGTTTTGATGTGTAGGGTTGAAATGAGAAAATAAAGAACAAAAAGGTAATAGACAAGAAGAGGTCCTGGGGGAACTGAAAGGTCTAGAAAGTGGTGCAACATTTGCATGCTGAATGCAATGGTGAGGACCAGCAGAGACAATGAGAAAAGCTGCCAGCAAATTACAGCGAGGGTCTGCACTGGTTTAGTGGGAAGATGCTAACCAGGATGAAGCTGGGGTTGGACTGGTAACCCGATGCAGTTCAGTTTGTTTAACATCCCTTTTCCCTCCCACACCATTTTGGAATTTCAGAATGGGCCTGGGCATCACTTCGATGGGCATGAATTTAAAATGTTTTGAGTATGGACAGTAATGTTGGTGGATACCATCTGGCCATCTGTTCAGTTGGCCTCAACCTGACTATAAATAATCCTTTTTATTTGTTTCCTGGTTTGATGTTTGTTTTGCTGGTGCTATGCTGTGGGATTACTTAAAGGCCCAGCTTGCAATAAATATTCTTGAATAAATGCTGTACCACCCCCTGTCTACAGTGTAATTAAACTGATTTGCACTCAGCTTATTTAGCAGAGCAGCTGAGGTAAGAATGATCTTCACATCACTCAAGCAGAGTTCTTCAGTGTGCTTAGGAAAGTGAGTCTGTCATGTTTGCGGTGTAATGCCAGTGGGAATTATGGACGTTTTAAAATATTTTTTATTACTTCTTTGTAAATTCATTATAAAGCTATCCTGTTGCGATAGGTTGGGGTTTGAACAATGTCATCAGGATACGTACAAGGAGATAAGGGGATATGAAAGATGAGCTAATGAGTGGCAGCCTTCACTGGTGCTCTTCAGAGAGGTGTCCTTAGGAAAGACCGGCACTTTAGCCAGACAAGCTCTAACATTTTCCTGGCAGGCGTAAAGTTTCTGTCTGAAAGTTTGTACTAAGCCTGCAGACTTTATGAAGCTATTGTAATTTGAGATGCGTCATATTTTTATTGTGTTGCTGTGTTAACGCTGAAACCTGAGAGTGATGATGTGATGTCTCCTTTAATTTTCACGATGTCGAAAATTATACAGCATGCTGGAAAGCAGGGCTGTTTTGTAGTGTTTCCTGTCATATTCTCATGGCATGCTGGTGGCTGGAACAGTACGCAGCATAGAGCGAACATCACTCCTGTGTTCCGTTTTCAGTCCAAGTTTGAAGGGCCAGTTGTATGCTTTTCCAGTGGTGTTCTTACCTTCGTGAATATTCTTTGTCCTAGGGAAGTGAAATGTGTTGATTTGGTTATTTTTATTTTCTCTCTTTCAGCCAGTGGAAGTGTTAAAGATACCTTTGTTGGAGCAAGAAATGGACAATACAGGCTTTTAAAAATAGTCATTGACAATGGTTAGTCAAATTGTAATCTTTTTCTCTGATCCTTTTAGATATTTTCCTAGCTGTTCTAGTGAACTACATGTACAATTGTTTGAAAAAAACCCAAAACTCTGCAAAACTTAATATTACTAAGGTCTTTCATATACAGAAGGTAAGATTGAAGTTTTGGTGGTGCTAAGCTTTTCAGTATGATGCTACTGTGGTTTTGGATTTGAATTTTTCTTCCGAATGTCATTTCATATTTTACCAAGAACTGCTGTATACTTCATATGGGTAATATAAATGAGCTTACTCTTACCTTCTTACTAAAGAAAGAGTAGGGAAAAAAAAAATTCCGCACCTGTGTAGTGTTTTGGCACTTTAGTTACTTTCATGAGATAGAGAGATTCTTACACAGCAGCTAGTAACTTTAGATGAAGTATAAATGTTATCTGCCTTTTATACTGAGATCAGCTGCATGTAGAAAGTCCTATTAAAGCAGATGTTTAAGTAGTAATCTGGCTACATAGAAAATGTCTTTAAAAATCTGTAACTTTGTACAAATTTTCAAAGCTAAAACTGTTCCTTAAATCTCACGTATATGTATAAATATAAAATTGCATAATTTCTTGCAGAACTTGAGTTTGATCTTTGAACTTATTGGCAAGTGATCAAGGCTGCAAACATTGCTAGATAGAATGCATAATTACTTTTTTTTTTTTAATGGCAATGCTGGTTGACTGTATAAGGCACTTCATGATTTAGTCCATCTTTTCAAGTACGTCAAATGACCACTTTGCCACTTTGGGTTTTTTGCTCTTTCTAGAGTTCATTCATTTACAGTACACTGAAATACCTGTTAGCTGGAGGAGGGTACTTTTATGTACATGTACACACACATACCTGCTTTTATTGTTAGGTAAATAACCCACTGTTACTTTCTTTGTGTTTGTTTTTCTTAGGAATTCTTCTGACACTGTAATATTGCTTTCCTTAAGGAAGTAGCAATAGTAATATTATAGGCAGGTCACTGTGGTAAAGTCTCACTCGTACAAGGTGGCAAATGCTGGCATACCATTGAATTTTTTTCTTTTCCCATTAGGCAAGGTAAAACAATATGGTTTTGTGTGTATACCACTTTTTAATGTGAAATGAAGTCTAGAAATAAGATGCAAATGGAAGACATTCCCCCCCCTTTTTTTTTTTTGGCTTTCTGTGTGTGTATATATATGCATTTTGACTCTATGTAGAAGCAGAATCCAGTCTTTGATACTATTCCCCACAGTTCAAAAAGAAACCTCTAAAACTCCCAGAATACTGGAAGAGGGACAGTTGCCTCATCTGTCTGCAGGAGCTTTCAGCAACTGCCTTTAGTCAACAGATAGTCAAATTGAGTCCTGCTAATCTGAGTTAATAAGGGAAGAGGTTTGCTGCTGGGCAATAGAATTCCTCTGACTGTATTTTTCTGTCCTAAATCCAGGTGAGTGCAAAGCCACCTAGAGTTCAGAATTGGCAAGTACATTCTGAATACTGTGCTCTAGGTGAACAATTTCAGCTATTTAGCGTCTAATTCAGAGCAGGGCCAAACACCCTCTCCCTGAGCTGTTCATGTTCTGTGACTTACTGTGGTAGAGTGCTTTGCTCTGAAACTTTTGCTGTAGAGGCATTTGTATACTGTTGTACTTTTTTCTGGAGTTTTAGAAGGTAGGTCCTAGACTCTCAAAAGATATTTTGTATACTAGCTACTATCATGGTCCCCAAACTGTTGTAGGATCCCATTTAAACAAGGTATTTCTGTTTTGATTGTGGGGGCTAGTATTTATTGGGAAGCTGATAAGTGTTTTGAGAGTCACTGTACTAATATTTTCCTTTGGAAGTTGAGATATGATTTATAAATAAGAGAAAAATCTTGTTGCTACAGCTGTTCACATAATTAAATCTCATCTGAAGTATTCTATACAGACTTAAGCCAATTATACGTAATAAACAACTTCAGTCATTTAAAGAGACCATAGTTATGAAGCTGTATTAGAAAGAGGTTTATCTACTTACATAGTCGAGTTAAAGTGATTAGTGCAAGCATATTCATTCCAAACTATTTTCACTGTATAACGTCGAGTTAGTGATTAGTGCAAGCATACTCATTCCAAACTATTTTCACTGTATAACTGAGTTATTGACTCCTTACAGTGACTACAAACACTAACATGTTACAGCAAGAGCATCAAGAATTCTAAAATTTCAAAGCTTACTCTCATCTTGTTTCTACTTAAGTATTCCAATTTAAAAATAAACTAACTGGCAGAAGACAGTTTTTATTTCCCTTCTATGTACATTATGCTAAAACCACTAGCATCAGTCTTAGCCCTTCAGATCAAAGAACTTGATGACAACCAACACGTAACTTCTCAACTATTTGTATTTGGGTTAAAGTAAGTTAGAGTTTGAACATACATAGCTTTTGCAGGAATTCACCCACTTTCACAATGACTGTTCTTGACTTCCATTCTTGTGGACATAATTATGAAAGATGAAGTGTCTGATTAACTGTTTATTGTAATTGCTAATTTTGAAAAACTGTATTAACTGTATAGTTGCTAACTTGTAGCTTTGGTTCTTGGTTATAGAGCAGCTTATTGTGGGATCCTCTAGGCGGCCAGTTGGATCATGGGAAAAGGATTATGATGCTTTTGTCCTTCCCCTTCTTGAAGACAAGCAACCATGTTATATATTATACAGATTAGATTCTCAGAATGCTCAAGGATATGAATGGATCTTCATTGCATGGTCACCCGATCACTCTCCTGTAAGTAACAGTCATTAGAGGCTTCATGCTGTTAATTATTTTTTAACAGTGCCATTTGATGTGAATCCTAGATATGAAGGAAACTGATTTGAGGAATGAAGCATTCCTCAACCTTCCCCTCGCTTTCCCCCAAGAAAACTGGGAAAATATGTTTCTTGAAGCTGATTGAGAAGCAGTATCAGTGGGTGTAGATGGAATGCAGCTGATCCAATTTATTTCTAGCCCGATGAGGAGACAAGACAATGTTTTTGCCCTGTTTGCTTGTCTGTCTTTGTCAGTGTTTCATGAAAATTCATGGAAGGACATAGGACAGAAATCTCAATGGGTGTTATCATAGAGAGAAGGATTATAGTGTGAGCTCAAGCTGTTTATTCTGTTTGGCTTGCTGGCTGCCCGGCTGGCACTCGTGGATCTATGACCTGCCACAGAATATACTGTTTCTCCATCAGTAGTTAGAGAACATGGGAGGGAACTGAGTTTAGGGTTAAGGATTTCTAGGAAAAACTAGGATGCTTTGTACAGGTTCTGGGAATGTGGGATAAGGGAAGACTGAAAGTAAAGCTGTTCCCATATTCCTACTACTTCCACTAGCAGTTAGGAAATAGTAAGAGACCAAGACTTGGAGTGCATAGAAGAGATTAGGTGGAAAAGGTGAGGTATTGTGGTGAGGATGGCATGATGGTGAAATAAGGTGGGAAGATGGGACTGTTGAGAGAGGAATAAGTGACTGTGCTAGACACAAGTTGATAGGGAGCAAACATCATTAGATCTTCTGCCCCCAGAAAATTTCATTTTTTCACTCTGTAGTTGAACCAAAACTATCTGGAGTCACTATCAAATAGAAAATAATAATGAGTTATTTGCAATCTGCTCTTTCTCTATCTGTTGTATCCATTAGTACACAGACCAGTGACAAATGGTCTAAACAATTGGGTTTTTTCCCCATTTAAAATTAGTGAAGATTATGTTGACTTTTTTTTTTTCCATTTAAAAAAAGCTCATATTCTTACTAAAGCGGCAATTTAGTTTTGGAATTACTTTGGTAATAATGCATGCTATCATGCCCTTGAGAATTTAATACTGTGTGTTAGTATTGTGATCCCGAACTCATTCCATGGAGTTTATTCTTTATTAAGAATTACAACTTCAAACTGCAGTTTTAACACTTAAAATATTTTTTCAAGAAAGAAGTTGATTAATGGACTTGGTACACCAACATGCTAGATTCTCTGTGTACAAACAAAAATAAAGAACCCAAACCAAATCAACACTGTCTTATGATATGCTAGGTTCGTCAAAAAATGTTGTATGCAGCAACCCGAGCAACGCTGAAGAAAGAATTTGGAGGTGGTCATATTAAGGATGAAGTATTTGGAACTGTACAGGTAAGTTTTTCTTTTTAAAGTCAGCACGCTGACCTTAAATACTAAAAATAGTAGCTAATGTTACTGGTATGAATTTGTGGTGTTTCTGCTCTTTTTTGATTAAGGAAAAAAGAGTTAAAAGCTATGTGTAGTATCACAATGTTAAAATGTAATTGTCCTCATTTGAACGAGTAACTAAGTATATTTAACCATTTCAGGCTAAGAAGTCCTTGCTTCAAATGGCTGTGAAAACTAAACAATCTAGGAATAATAGGAGCATCTTTTAATCTCATTGCGTGCATGTGAATCCTCAAAAAGCTGTAACACTAACTTTCAGGCCAATTGTATACACAAGCCATTTTGGATGTATGGTTCTGAATCAGAAGTGGGCTATCTGCAAGCCATTAACATCTGAAAATAAACGTTTTTATCTTAAACCAAGGATATTAAGATGTCAGTTCTTTAGAATTTGACCATAAAATGTAACTCAAATTCCGTGGCTGCCATCTTAACTGATGGAAATAGAATTTTAGTAGCTACTAATTTAATCAAAGAAAATACTGATAGTTGACTGTTCAATTATGGTAAGATAATTGAAGGTGCATGTATGAAATCTAACAAGTTTCTAAGGGATGTTGAAAAGCCTGCAAGTGCTGTATATGTAAGGAAATACGAGGCTGTTGTGTTACCTTGGTTTCCTTGGGAAATAAGTCTTACACGGTTGTGATGTCAGCCTGTTTGTCAGGCAGACATCAGACTGTTTTTACTTTTTAAACCATTGCCAGTTTTAAAGAAACACAATTTAGAGTTCTCAAAGATACAGAATTCCTATAGCTTTGATGAAAACTGATGATTGCGTAGAGATCCAAATTATCATTCCCCTTTTCACCTCCTTCAGCAAAGATAGAGAGAGTCCAGCAGTTATATTCTGTCTGGCCTGTTAATTAGTTCATTGTATACACAAATTTGAACCAAAAGCACCAACACTATTGATGCAGGGAGCTGGTGCTGAAGGAAGGGAAGGAGCTGGAGGTTTGGGGAAGAATAGAGGATGTTGTAGTGGGGAAAAAAATGGAAGAGATGTGGGCTGTTTTGGTGAACAGAGAAGTCTATAAGGACATGAGGCTAATAATTCTGCTGTTCACTGAGTAAATAATTTGTTATATTTAGCATTAACCTGTGATGGAGGCTTCATTGTCTTAACACACACACGAACAAACCTCTCTGGAGAGGCTGTATTCTGGAGAAGTAGGTAACCGAGTTGCTAAGAGAGTTTGCTGGTAGAGGTCATGTTATTTTTTTCTTGCATGTTCAGTCAACTAATCTCTCACTGCCACTTGCACCAAACCATTACCAGCCTATGTAATATGTAGAATTTGGGCTCTGAGTTGTAGGGCTAGACACAAGTCCGAGCTTCCGTCTCAATTGTAAGGAAGGAGCGTTGCATTTGTCTGTTACTGTTATTTCAGAATGTGTGTGAGGCACTTAGAGGATGAAGTCGGTGTAACTCACTTTCTTCAAGTTCATTATGTTACAGCTTAATATATCTCTAAATTGTTGGTTTTAGTGTCTTTATAAGCTTCTTAATTGTAGCTGGCCTCTACTGAACATTAGAGGCCAGCTCTGTGAAAATCACAGCTCTTCAAAGTATTGAAGTCGCAAACCTGGCTCAGAATCTTGATCGTCAGCATCCAATGCGTTACTCTGTCTTTATTTTGTTAGACACAAGGATGGTTTAGTTGCAACCAGCTCTGTTATCCTGGTAGAACCTGGTTGTGGTCCCACCTGCAACTTCACATGTATTAACTTCAATACCTCTGGGCTCCTGAAACGAGACATAATGGAATATTGGCACTGGAAATTGTATTTGGGAAGGTCTGTCTCTTTCAGAAAGGGAAGAGCTAAGAAGGATCTCTTTCTCCTCAGAACTTGAGTATAAAACCACATTCATGTGATTGCATAAAGTCCTGCACTTTTCTGAGTGACCACCTTAATTATAAAAACACGACAGTATTTGCCTCTGGTATCACCCTCTTTGGAGAGGGCCAGAACTGGCACTGAGTATTAACAAGTTCCCCACAGTGGTTATCAGAATTCATGGCTTCTGTGATATTGCATCCTGAACTATTTGCAGTATCATGTGCTTACTCCCTGTCCTAAGGCAGCGTTTCTGTCTCCCATTTTTTTAGGTAGAAAACTACCAAAAAGCTACTAGTCTGAGCATGCAGATTTTATAAAAAAATATAATAATATATTTTTAATAAGTTGTTTGGTTTTTTTTTTAATTAGAATTGTGGCAATTCTGTGAGGTTTTGTCCAAGAAGACTGAATAACTTTGTGCACACAATCTTCATTAATGCCCATTTTTGAATTAGCAAGGTAATTAGGGAGTGATCGCGGAAATGCTGTTTGTGGTACGATTGGGTACAAGAGCAGCCCAGTGGACTCTGCTGTACAGGAAGATGAGCTGAATTTGCAAATGAGCCTACACTTTTAATCCATTCAAATAAAATTACCGTAACTGTATGGGAAGTAACTGCTTTTTTAATGCTGCATAGAGCATCTTTGAAGAAAGCTTTTATTATCAAAAATGATCAATATTGATAATTGTGCTTTCAGGATGATGTTTCACTGAATGGATATAAAAAATATTTGATATCACAGTCCTCCCCTGCACCTCTGACTGCAGCAGAAGAGGAACTTCGACAAATTAAGATTAACGAGGTACCTACAAGGTCTTTGAGCATGGTGTGAAACCGGGTGTAGAATTCCAAACATTGTAGCAAAGAAGTCTTTCTAGGGTAAAAAAGGGCAGAACAGAAAATGGAAAACTTCAGAAAGTTTGAGTGGATGAGAATATAAATTTATTTCTATGAGTTGAGTTTGCAGGATGGTGATGGCTGGAGTTGAAGTGGCGTGATCTTGCTGAGTTTGCAAGGCCTACTGTCTGAGTCAGACGCCTCACAACTGCACAGCTTAATTGTTGCAACTTTGGCCCTTAAGATTTATTTCAGTATCACTGGATGAGCTTCATTGTGAAGGTTGACCAAGCACTGGCACAGGTTGCCCAGAGAGGTTGGGGAGTCTCTGTCTTCAAGATATTCAAAAGCCATCTGGTCAGAGACCTGGGCAACTGCCTGTAGGTGGCCCTGATTGAGCAGGGTGGTTGAACACAATGAACTCTGAAGGTGCCTTCAAACCTCAACCATTCTGTGATTGCCTACATGCACTTCCCACAGGGGCAGAAATTGTAGAGCAAATACGAAATAGCAACTGTTGCAGTGAATTATTGCCAGGAGTATTTCAGCAGCCTTATCCCTAGAGGAAACGTACTTAGATTCCATCACCAGTGCACTTGTCTTTAAGACTGAGGAAGTGAATGGAATTCCAATAAAAATACAATAGAAATCCAAAACAAGTAGCTAGTCCTTTTAAGAGACTGATTTGCTTTTGCTACAAATGCTTTATAGAAAAATCTCTAACAAAGGCCTTTAAGCAAATAGTTTGATGATTGCTAGCTAGCTATTGACTGAGAAGTTTGATTCTTGTGCTTTTCTGTCACTTGATCACTTGTTCAGACAGGTATTAAAACAGGTAATGTGCTGATCTTACTAGTTCTTTGGATTTGTATTTTACAGCCATGGTACATGTGTTTGAAATATGGTTTGTTTCTACAGCTGGATGCCAGCAAGCCATTGTGTTCAGTGCAGCTCTGTATCTTCTCTAATGTTGTCACTCTACCATGCTGTTGCTGCAACTTTGTTGTTTATTGACTTTTTTTTTTCAGTGGTGTCTTTTGTTATTTTCCATGTTTAATTTTGATTAATCCAATGTAGGAATGCTCTCATCATCATCAAACACTGCATTTTACTTGATCAGCTTTAAAAGAAAACCCACTAATGAATGTAAAACTTCTGTGGTATTGATGATCACTACTGCTATTAGTATTATCTCTTATGCACTACATATGTTGTGTTTAACAGCTGATTTGTGCAGACTGAAACCTTATGTGCTATTACGAAACTTCAGCAGTAATAGCTGTCCTTTTTAGAGATACATAAACTGTAGATTGCTGCCAGTTTGGCTTTGTTTGAAGCATCTTGCAATATGTTAACTTATATCATTTCTGTCTTCGTTGTTTCCACAATTATGAAGCCTGTAATTAGCCTTAGAAAACTAAAAGCTTTCTGATTAAAAAAAAAATATAATATTGAGTTTTCCATATGTATATTCTTTTCTAATTACCGTAAGAGAGATTTTACTGGATCGGATCGAAGGATCACCTAGTCTGCCATGAAGTCCCTGAGTGAACAACAGCAAAAATCTAGGAAGAGTGCAAGAGAAGGGCAAGGTGGCCATGATAATTCCCTTGAATGCTCTTCTGTTACCTCAATGTTTGCAGGTGTAGGGATCTTCCTGAGTAGGAGGTGATGTCTTACTATATAGTTGTTGTTAATGGGGTTTTCATCCATCATCTAGTCTTGTCATTTTTCTAAATCCACGTAAAGCTTTTGTTAGCTACAGATCTTATGGCAGCATATTCCACACCTTGAGAAAGTACTATGTAAAGAACCACTGCCTGCTATCTATTAGTTTATTATGATATCCCTATGGATTGTGTGGGGAAGGCAGAGAAAAGTCATTAAGTCATTCCTCATTTTCCCTCTTCCCTTTGATAAAGCTAACTGTACCCAGCAAGCCAACCATATCCTGGCCTGCATCAAAGCAACCGTGGCCAGCAGGTCGAGGGAGGTGATTCTGCCCCTTTACTCTGCTCTGGTGAGAACCCACCTGCAGTACAGCGTCCAGCTCTGGGACCCCTGGCACAGGAAGGACATGGACCTGTTGGAGCACGTCCAGGGGAGGGCCACAAAAATGGTCAGAGGGCTGGAATACCTCTCCTATGAGGACAGGCTGAGAGAGTTAGGGATGCTGAGCCTGGAGAAAAGAAGGCTCCTTGCAGCTTTGCAATACTTGAAGCGGGCTTTTAAGAAAGATGGGGACAGACTTTTTAGCAGGGCCTGTTGCGATAGGACAAGGGGTAATGGTTCTAAACTGAAAGAGGGCAGGTTCACACTGGATATAAGGAAGACATTTTTATGATGAGGGTGGTGAAACACTGGCAGAGGTTGCCCAGAGAGGTGGTAAATGCCCCATACCTGGAAACATTCTAGGTCAGGTTGGACGGGGCTCTGAGCAACCTGATCTAGTTGAAGATGTCCCTGCTCACTGCAGGGGATTTGGACTAGATGACCTTTAAAGGTCCCTTCCAACACAAACTATTCTATGATTCTGTATCCATGGATCTCTGTTGTATTCCTTATCAGTTATCTCTTCCAGCCTGAGGAGTCCTAATCTAGGTAGTTCTTCCTTCTAAAGAAGGAACTCCACACTTCTGATCCTTTTGCTTTTTTCTGCAGTTTTTCCAGTTCTGCTATATAATTTATGAGATGGAGGGATGGGGAAGCCAGAAGTGCATGTGGTATTCAAGATGCAGGCATGTTACTGATATCTACAGTGCGTAATGATGTGTTCTCTACTCTTTTTCTAACAATTTGTAACATTTCTTTCGTGGGTGGGGAGTGTTGGGTTTTATTTTGTTTTGTTTGCATTTGTTTTGCCAAGAGTGGCCACCAGGCTTATATTTTCAGGGATATTCATTGTGACCTGCAAGATCCTCCTGAACAGTAGTAGCTAGCTCAACGCCATCACCATGCAGGTAGAAGAGAGGGGTTTTTTTTTGATTCCTGCATACGTTACTTTACAGGAAATTTCATCTGCCATTTTATCCACCACTCAGCAGCCATCACTAACAAATCTTATGTTGTGAATTTAAATATTTTTAAGTGACTTAGATGGTTTTGTTATGCTTTAATGGTCTGCAATATGTTGCAGTATAGACAAGTAGATTTTGTTCATTTTCTTAAATCTATAGTTATTCTCGGTTACTCTCTTCCCTTGCCTGTCCCCATGCTTCACAACTCGTTTTTATATTTGTGGGTTTTTCTACTTGTATTTTAATATGGTTTATATAGTATGGTATTTTATTATCGTTTGTTATTTTTGTGATGCCTATTTTATGTTTATTAATCAGGCTTTTATGCAGATATATTTGGCAAATATTCTTTATATAACCTTCTTCATAAATTTATCAATCTTTATACATAAGAAAGCTCTTCCACCTGCTTTCTTCTGCTCTTTCCTTGTTGCTGACAAGCTGTTCCTTAAAATGTGGAGTATAATTTAGTGTTGCCCCAAGTATCTTTGGTTTTTATTTTTTTATCAGTTTGTTTCATATTTCATTAGCATGTCTTTTTAATTAAAGCTGAACATCTTCTAGCTGATAGATCTAAGACCCACGTTTTTCATTTTGTACACTTTTCTGACTCTTGCTGCTTCATCACCGATGTTAAATGTATTTGTGAAATTATAAAAGGAAGCAAATATTTTCGAAAACTAAAACTTAGACGATAAGTTCAGACTTGAGAAAACTGGAGGGCAGAGCTCATTTTGAGAGAAACTTCATGAATGTTAAGATAAACATAAATTCTTTAAAAATGGCTTTAAAATAACTTCTTTTCTCTCAAATAATTTGTGACTAACATAACTGGATTACAAACAGTTGTCTAGGTTGCAGTGACCCTGTTTTGTTTTGTTTTTTTACTTTGTGTTAGACTTTCTAGAAGTCAAAATTAAGATTTTGTTTGTTTTGTTTGCTTTCTTTTTGGTATAGGCTTTAGGGGGAGGGTGTTGAAGCAGGAGGGAGGGAAGTTGCTTTGCTTTTCCTTCGAGAAAATCAGTTTGTCTTACAATTTCTCTCTTCTTCCAAAAATTTTGACTCCCTAGAAATGACATTTGTATGTTTTGATATAAAATTTTTCAAGATACAACAAAGATTATAAGCAATATTGTCAGTTCAAAGGTGTAACACAGCATATGAAAATCAAGCTCTTTCCTCCTGGCTTATTGTATCTTTATACCAGAATTTAACTTAAGAGCTTCTTCACTGTCACTTGAGCCAGTTTTCCCTCTGATGATTCTGTTGGCTCAGCAAAGCTAGCTGTTTCAGAGATACGAAACTGTTTTCAGGCAAGCAAGCAAATGCTACCTGTAAGTTTAAAACTGCAAATCTGTTGTATATGGGGATGATATTTTAGGGTAGTTAATTCTCAGACTAGCTACTGCTAGCTCTGCATGTAACCATATGCAATGTGTTGTCAGTTATTGTATGGAACCGAACGGGTGCTCACAAAGGTTTCTGTTTACATCTCTATTGACTTGTGTTCCAGGTACAGACGGACGTTGGTGTAGATACCAAGCATCAAACGTTGCAAGGAGTAGCATTCCCCATTGCTAAAGAAGCTATTCAGGCTTTGGAGAAATTGAAAAATAAGAAACTGAATTATGTACAACTGGCGAGTATAAAATATTTTAACTATTTTTTAGTAGTGAGTATAAAATGCATATAAACCTGCACATTAACACCTGTTGATGATATACACTGATAAATTACCATTCTTTATTAGATCAATTTTTTTCATCCTGTCATGTTCTCTAGTTTGCTTTCTGTGTATTAACTATATTCACGTTTGCTTCGTTAACAGCAAATTGATATGAAAAATGAAACTATTATTTTGGCCAACACACTTCATACTGAACTTCAGGACTTGCCAAAAAGAATTCCAAAAGATGCTGCGCGTTACCACTTTTTCCTGTATAAGCATGCCCATGAAGGAGACTATTTGGAATCCATAGGTATGAGAAAATTTCCCAATGTGAAATTTCATTGGCTTGTTTCTAGTACTTGAGTAATTTTGAGGCAGAGAGAAAGATGCGTCATAAAAGTAATGTGTCCGTCATCATGATCATAAATTTCATTTGGTTGTGAAACTGATTTCTGAAGAGTCCTTATGTTTAGAAAGTAGTGAGCTATCCCTTTTGATAATGAAAATCCATAAATCAGTCATCATGTGAAAATGTAAAGATAGTGGCCATTCTCTCATCTCCCATTTGAGTTGAAATACTTGCTAAAGCAAACCAGATCCAGAATGGTGTTACATTTTTCCCTTTTAGACTGCATAGTTGATTTGCAATGTCTCTCTGTTATAAATGATTTTATGATACAGGTTTTGATGGAATGTAGTTATGGTCTGATTTGTGGTTTGTTTTGGGTTTTTTTTTTCTGCAGTTTTCATCTACTCTATGCCAGGCTATACCTGTAGTATACGGGAACGAATGCTCTACTCTAGTTGCAAAAGTCCACTGTTAGAAATTGTAGAAAGGCAGCTGTGGATGCAGATAATTAGAAAGGTAAGTACACTGGGTATACTGGTATTTTCTCCATCCCTCTGTTCCCTTCTTAATATCTAACTATAACTGTCTCTGTGCCCACCTTCTCTAAACAATGAAAAGTGTTGTGTAACTATTAAATTTTGTCCCGAACAAGAAATACTTGTCGATAAAGCTCCAGATACAAAGTTAAGTCATGGAAGCTTTTCTCTGGTTCGTAATTTCTACACTTTCACACTTTTAACAAACATATCCTAGTGCATCAAGGGAGTGTTTGAGAGTACTTTGAAGGACTACTTAGCAGTAACATGATTTCTTACTAAAAGGCCTGTCATATTTTGGACCACAACTCGCAGTTGTTGAACACTAAATTCCTTTAAAGCCAAGGTTATTTAAGGATTTTCAAAATAATTCCAAGATGCAGTTCTGGAACTTAAAACTGGTATTTTAGGAGTCATTGATGGGGTAAACAAGGATTTGCAAGTAAGCTGATCTTTTCACATTGTATAGATTTTACTGCTATGCAGTAAGTTGCTTCTCACCTCCAGAGCAGAGACGGTAGGAATGGTCCATTTATGGAATATGTGACCTATGGTTACATTCTTAACGCTTGTGCTGTAAATTTAGAAAAATTTTGAGGCTTGATTTCTGTGGGGATTATGTCTACCTGAAAAATAGCAGAGTTAATACTAACCGTTTTTACTGAGGTGACACAAATTAGGTAGATTATCACACCATGTTTTTATATGTAATTATTTCTCAGAAATTTCCTTTCTATGACAAAATAAATGCACCATGTGACTCCTGAAATTCCTGTAGACATATTTCTGAAAGATGTACTTGTAACAGCAATACCGTGGCTGGCAAGTCCATCAAGTGCTATGGTTTGGCAGGCCATGAAGTGCTGAATGCTCAGCAGAGCAGGGCCAAAGCATTTCTCTGAATTCTAAATTTCTGCTATTCAAAACAGTGGGGTTTGGCTTGAGAACACTATTTTCTTTCCATTCAGGTTTTTATGCTGAAATTTTAAAAACCAAAACAACCCCTGCTTTTGTTCATTAAACTTATTTTAGTTTTTCCCTGGCTTGAATACTTGCTGAGTCGCAGTAGCTGCTAATCATATAAGCTGTTTGTACTCCTCCGCTTCTGTCTCAAGAGACAACAATACGTATGCACGTTGCTCTTAAAGGTAGTGTTTAAAGCATGTTTTAGTGAAAAAATTTAGTTCCTAAAATGTGGAAATTACATTGGGACAATGAAAAGTTTTTATTTTAGAGGGGAAAATAAAGGACAGACATTGTAGTTCTGAAGATCTGCATGCTGCTTTCTTATCTCTTATTAAGGAAGTTACTTTACAGATGAGTAAATAAGCACTTGTTTCCACATGGAATGCGTACTCCTAGTTAGTATTAATATGTATGCTGGGCTAAAGCTTGGGACAGAGGAAGTTTCTTGGCATATGAACTGTGTAGTTGTATTTCAGGAAAAATAATTAAATCAAATCACACTCAATACTGGTAAGAGTATAGTGGATTCTCAGAAAAACTGTCTAAGATTGCTCAGGGCATTAGGCACAAGTTAGAGAACATTTCATGCGAGACTGAATGTTATTGCACATATGGTTTTAATAAAGTATTTAGAGCTTCAGCAAAATTTTGAAATGTTTTTAAATGTCTTTAAGATGAATATGATAAATGTTGGCACTTTTTCCCCAGATTGAAATAGATAACGGTGATGAGTTAACTGCTGACTTTCTTTATGAAGAGGTTCATCCGAAACAACATGCTCATAAACAAAGTTTTGCTAAACCAAAAGGTCCTGCGGGGAAGAGGGGAATACGAAGACTGATTAGAGGTCCAGCAGAGACTGAAACACCTAGTGATTAGAAACTGTTGTTTGCATTTGTTATGAAGTATTACAGTAAGAAACTAAATTCTGGCTTTTGGTAATGAACTGAAATCATTCCATTCATAGATGCTAGGAAAAAAAAAAGGCTCTTTTTACTCTTGTATCTTCTGACCTCAACACTTTTTATATTGTTACATGATTATATTTGTTGACCATGTTTTATAACATGTGGAAGAGCTAATAATTTAAAAGCTAGAAGAGGAAAACTAAGCTAGTACCCCTTTATTTTAAATTAGAATTCCTTATTTAATAGCTGTACATGTGATCATGAACTTCGCAGACATAAGACTATTAAGCCTGTACATTCTGTGGGTAAGTTGCAGCTGTATGCGTAGATGACAGACCTGTGTTCATATGAGTAGCTTATTGAAACCTGTAAAACTTTCCATGTGTGAAGAGCTGAAGCACTATATAGCATTGTCCCAGATAAATCTTTATTTTTCCCTGTAGTCCTTATGGACAATAGTACAATAGAAGGTTTTTTTCTGGTTTTGACATGATGCATTATTGGGTTTTGTTGTTTTGTTTTGGGTTTTTGTTGGGTTTTTTTTTGTAATAGAAAAGATGAACTAAAATGAGTTATCCATCAATTAATGTAAGTGTTCAGAAATAGCTGGATATTTTCCCATGCAAAAGTATGGTCATTTCAAATTTATAACTAATTTTGTGGAATTGTCTTTTAAAGAAATCTGACTTCAAAACCACTATAGCTTTTCCAGACTTCTATACCACTCATAGTAAGCCTTACATATGAAGTACTGAATGACCAAGTAAAAGGTGATTAGAAATGCATGAGTTAGTATACTCAGTAGATTATGGAGCTACTTTCAAAGCAATATGCTTAAAGTTACTAATAAATAATTGGTTATCTGTGCACTTGGATCTAAAACTGTGTAAGTTGAGTAAAAATTGAAATAGACTTGCTTCATAATGGTGAGTTGTTATTGAGATCCTAGTGTGTTTGCAGTATCAACTGCAATTTTACCTTTCAAAGTATTCTGAAAATGTCTTTTCCTGAATGTTTGAACTTTAACAGTAACTTAAATCTGTAACAAAATCCAGCTCGGTCTTGAATAGCTGCTAGCAGCACCTGGTTAGGATTTTCTTTTTTGGTTTGGTTTTTTTTTTTTTTCCAAAATACAGCAAGAATAGTCTAAACGTGATTGAACCATGAGTAATATGTTTAATAGGAAGAGGAAAAATAGATTGTTTTAATATGTGGATTAAAGAAGATTTAGATGTGGAAATCAAGTATTGGATGACCTTAAATATTTAAAATTGTGTAATGAGGCGAATACTAGTGGACAGATTATATTCCCCAGTGGGGACTTCCTTTTTAGTGTCTTGTATGTGAGCTTTGTGTTTTTTGAAATTTTTTTTTTTTAAAGCTACATGGGAGTTGCAAGTCTTGGTTCACTGCATATTATTATAGGTGCCAGGTGTATACATCATATAGCTGACTAAATCACACGTTTACCTGGTGGAAGATAGATTTTAACCTGGGTTTGTAGGGAAGTAATGCTTTGACACTACTAGTTCCTGATAAAATTTGTTTTATCTTATGTATTATTTTGTTTGGAGATACTAGCTTGTTATTGACGTCTGAGATTGCACTATATAATGTGAAGATTGGAATAGTTGTTGGTTTTACTGTGGTTTTTTCTATGCAGTAGAAATTTGACACCTCAGCTTTTTTCATTTAATCTTATACTCTACATCAATCCAATTCAATAGCTCTTGATCCTCGGCTAATCTCCTGCTTGCCCTTAGCTACTGTGTTCTTTTTCTGCCTCTTGCCTTCTCCCTCCAGGGCAAGGAGCTGGCCTTTGGACTGTCTCTTCTATGTACAACCTGTCAGGCAGGTGTCGTTGTTTTTTAAACATGGTTAATGTGTGTGCAGCTCATCCCACACTGTAATTACATGTATTTTTAGTTGAACTCTGAATTTTTTCAGCACACCCGATTCACTTTGGTTTGGTTGTTGTTTTGGTTTTTTTTTTAAGGAAAACCTTTGAGCATAAGAGTAAAAAATTACTGCTAGAGGGTTTTTTGTTGGAATGTAGTATTCCTGCCCATGTGTCAGCCATACCAAGGGCGCACATACATTTTTACACTAATTTGAGCCAGTAAAGAAGTTCAGCTTTTTAATACCAAATGTTTTAAATAATGAACAGTTTGACCCGATATGGTTATGTGCATGTTGTGTTTTGGTTTTGATTTATTTTTTTTTTTTTGCCCTAGGTAGATGAGGATAGGAGGTGGAAAGCTTAATCTGGAGAATGCTGAGAGCTGGTTAAGTGATTATGCGAGGGTGTTTATAAGGAGCTGCTTTAGAGTTCAGCCCAAACCAGACATTGTAAGTTATCTTACTTGAAAATATTCTACGTGGGTGTACAAACCCCTGACCAACCAGCAGAGAGTCACGTCCTGAGCGTATTTCCCCCTTACCTTTCCCCTAAAAGATAGTTGTATGAAGTCTCGCACTGCCGACTGCCTCTCCAGGCCTCTTGTAGCTGATCTCCTTACAAAGCAATAAGAAGCATCTGATGTTTTTGTAAGATCTATCACGTTTACATCTGTGTAGTTGCCTCACATAACACTACTACTGCTAATGAATGTTCACAGCCAGTACAAAATGAGGGCATTAATGAAAGTTATTCCTTAACCGTCTCTGGTGATTTAATAATTGAAAGTGTCCATTCAAATTGTTGTTTGCCTTCATAAAGCCCGAAAGCAATGCAGCTGCTTGCAGTTAACTCACAAGCTATTAAATAGTTAATTAACATGACAGGTAATTATTTTTGAAATGTTTATGTTGTAAGGTAGGAAGAATTTGATCTTTTAAAACACTCCTATCAGAGGTTTGTAAAACTAATCAAGGTAATAATTGCTCTGTTACTTGGATAAACACATTGAAAAAGGAAACTTGATTTACAGTGTCTATATATTCAATGAAAACCACCTTCAGATGCTAAAATTAACTAAGTTTACCTTATCTATTTTGTAATTTACTTTATAAATAAAAATTGATGCTTTAGTTTGGTGTTGTCTGAATCATTTCATAATCTCTTTAACAAAGATCTCTATTCTGACATCCCGGTGTGTAAGTAACAGGCCCACAAGTCTGTGGGACTAGAAAGCAGTACAGAAGTGATCGCAGGGTGTAAGAAGGGAGGGGTGCAGAAACAGAATTCCTGGCTTTTGCGATTGGAGAAAAATCGGTATGTTAGAAACAGCTACTTTCCTGCTGCCATGTGGAAGCAGCACAGAGGCCTCTGTAGCAGATCCAAGTGTGTTCATCTCTTGAGGTTTTTATGCTTTCAATAATAAGCCCCTTAAAAAAGTTCTTCTTAAAAAAAGTTCTTCTGTCCTTTCAACATGCTGAAATAGTTGATTAGTAATTTAAGAGTTCTGTCTGTTGTTATTTGCTTGACGTGAGCTAGGTAGTATAATTAAACCACTCAAATTACATTTTCCCATTACTGGGGTTTTTTTTTGTCTAAACTGAAACTCTTCCTATTGCCCTCAAAGACAAGCTGGAAAGAACATTTAGTGGTTTGGCTTTAATTTTAACAGTCCTGCCAACACATCCCCACGGGGAAATCGGAGATACAGCAATTTTGCAGTTGAAAGAGGGAAGTTTGAAGATGTGTTGAATGACAATTTATGAGAATAATTTTAATGCAAAATGCTATACAGGAGTAAGAGGAGGAGGAGTAAGGTAAGAAGAGGGAATGTGACCATGAATAGCAGAACCAGTTTTATTTGCCCTTTGGTCAGGGGTTGTTTGTCCTGGTTTGAGCGACACAGGACAAATTTCTCTTCTAATGCTTAGGATGCCTGCACTTTTAGAAGACTCTAGTGTCTGAATTGGTGAAAATGTTTACTTTGTAGCCAGCTATGGTGTGTGGGTTTCAAGGTCTCAGTGTTTTTGAGCTTGCCAGGTGCAGGGATGAGGAGGAATGAGACCCGGGCACTTGATCCAAGCTGGCCAACAGGATTATTTCATGCCATGAATGTTCCAGTCAATATAGATTAGAAAGTTTGCTGAGGAGTTCCTCCTTTTCTATGATGGCTGCCATCCTGAGAACTTTGTGCCCTGGTGCTGGACCCCTGATGCCTTCCCATCCGCCCGAAGCCGTAGTGCTCAGTGTCCCACGTTTGCTGTCCACTGCTGGGAGTGCACAGCTTCCTACGGATCGAATGGGCTGAGTATAATCTTTGCATATTCTGTATTGGTATCGGGATCAATATTGGTTCCTCAGTGCTATTAATGTCAATTATCTAATCTTACTCTATTAAATCTGTTTATACTTCAACCCTCCGTTTCCTTGTTTTTTCTCAGTTCCCTTCCCCAAGTGGGGAGGGGTCATCGGGTGATAGGAAGATTGTCTAAACAACAATAAATTGTTGTGGATTTCTCAAACCATAACAGTGTTAAATAAAACTCTCAGCTGGCCAGCCACAAAGATGAGGGAATTCTTCCCAATTCAATAATATGAAGTACTATGGCCGGTAAAAGGTGTACTGGCTCAGAAGGCAACTATCAACTGATTAAAGAAAATGTCATAGACATCCAATAACTAATGAAGAACCCACATCCTTTCCAAAGTTAATGAGCTGCAAACTGTACAAAGCCATCATATTCCAAAACAGTACCTCTACATACGTGTCCTGTTCTTGTGTTCTGTCCTCAGTAGCCACTAATGGCTCATGTCCCACCCCCAGGGTGGCACAGGCACCTCTGGTCTGGCTCAGATCATAGAATCATCATAGAATTGCTGAGGTTGGAAAGGACCTTTAAGATCAAGTCCGACCATTAACCTGCCCTGACCAAACCACCTCTAAACCATGTCCCTAAGCACCACATCTACCCCTTTTTTTAAGCACCTCCAGGGATGGCGAATCCACCACCTCCCTGGGCAGCCTATTCCCATGTCTAATAACACTTTTAGTGAAAAAATGTTTCCCAATATCCAGTCTAAACCTCCCCTGACATAACTTGAATCCATTTCCTCTCGTCCTATCGCTTGTCACCAGGGAGAAAAGGTCAGCCCCCACCTCTCTACTACCTCCTTTGAGGTAGTTGTAGAGAGCAATGAGGTCTCCCCTCAGCCTCCTTTTCTCCAGGCTAAACAACCCCTGTTCCCTCAGTCGTTCCTCACAGGGCTTGTCCTGCAGACCCCTCACCAGCTTTGTAGCCCATGATCACTTCCCTAGTCCTGCTCACCACACTATT